TCACACACACACACACACAAATTCTAAACGCCTCATGCTTTAAGAGCCTAAACTCTAACCCTANACTCAAAAGAATCATTAAGGACATCAATCAAAGAAATAACCTCTCCCATATCTCCATCATCAAGATTTCTACGGAAATCAAAATCCCACGAATATGGATAAACATAAGATCGAATCGTAGAAGCAATGGATACATCATGATAAAAAGATAATTGATAGAGATATGGAAACAAAGAAGTCAAAGGTGACTCCCCCACCCATAAATCCACCCAAAAATGATTCATTACCCCATTACCCACCATAGTCTGAACATTTTGTGAAAGGGTAAATTACACTAATGGTCCCTAAAGTTTATACTTATAGTTAGTCACACTTTGGTCCTTAAAAGTTTTAATTTCGTCAATTTGATCCTCAAAGTTCATACATTTGACTAACGTAGTTCTTGGCACTAACTGCCATCAAAAAAAGAAACGGAAAGTATCATGTGCCTCGCATAGGGGAGTGTTGATGGGTGTTTTCGTCATTGTGCTTTCAAAATATAGAGCAAAAAAGGAAACTTAAAATAAGGCACAAAAAGCACACCATTACTCTCGACACGCCACTTTTCTTACCTGCCATTAATACAATCCCAATAGCTCACCGCCCACTCTCTCGGAGCAGAGATGAAGAACAACACAAGAGTTTTGTATGCAAATAGGTTGAGAGAATTTGAGATGGATCACAAAATCAAAGAAGAAAAACAAGATTAAATTCAAATTTAGGCAAGAGATGGTGTGTGAATAGTAAGAATCCAAATGGGTTTTGCTCCAATTGTTGGAGGTGGTGTGTGAACAGTGAGATTTGGAACAACATCAAAAGCTGTAAAAGTAGGTTGCTTTGTTTTGTGTTGGAGGTGAAAGGTTAGGAGAGGGAGGTGGGTTAATAAGAGGCCAGAAAAGATTTACTAGGTACATTGAAGAGAGAGAAACTGTAGATGCATCATCATTGGTTTGTGCTTCTGTGTTGGTCTCACACGACTTTCGTTGCTTCCCCTCCAACCTTTGTTTTGTTTGTCCATTAAGCATATCTCTCTCTCTCTCTCTCTCTCTCTCTCTCTCTCACACACACACACACACAAATTCTAAACGCCTCATGCTTTAAGAGCCTAAACTCTAACCCTAACCCTAACTGCCACTGAAACTCCACTCACGACTGCCACCTCTTTCATCAACCCATCCATGGCCCAAACCCCATTTATATCCTACCATGGTTTAAAATCGAGGTATTGGCTCAAACTCAGAAGGCACCAATATACACCGATCACGGCGTCGCAGCACGGTATCAGCTGATACGGGTAAAATACTTGATAAAAGGCCCAAAAAAATCTAATAAAATTACAAAAAATCTAAAAATATAAATAACATAATCCATGCATCATATATCCTAAACATATAAGATTCAAATCGTAATTATTGTCTTTACGTTAACTATACAAACCAGGTAAGTTATTTTCATCATAAGGATAAATCTAGATTTAATATAACTTTAATACTTATTTATACATAGTCAAAAAAGTTGAAAATTTTAAAAAACATTATGCTAATTTACATTTTAGAATATATAATTTTTTTTTGAGAAATTTTATCTTACTTATAAATTACATATGCATTATGTTTTTAATTTTAAAATCTATTTTTATATGTATATAATTAATAGAGTATAATTTTAGTAAATACCGACAATCTTATTTGTCTAATATAATAATACTTAGTATAATAATTGTTGATTCAATTAAGAGACTTAGACCAACCAAGACACAAAAGCTTCAAGTGGCAACAATGAGAGAGAGAGAGAGAACCTTATCCGTCTACAGTCGGTGTTGCCTGTGCAAAGAAAAAAAGAGGGGCCACTGCTCTGACGCTTGAATGGAGAAGAAAGGGTTGTAGTCACTGCTCTAATGCTCGAATGGAGAAGAAGGGGATATACAGTACAACTTGTACTATAGCCTTTGTATGTAACTGTGCAGGATCTACAGGTTTTTCTCCAAATCCTATCAATTTCTATTTTAGGATTTAATGATTTCTTCTACTTTGGTTTCTGCATCTTTGGGTCTATGAATCTAAATGTGGAATTGGTCTTCTTTTTCTCCTCTTCTCTTTTTTTTTTCTATTTTTTACATTGATCTATTGATGACTCGGTACGACTCGGTCCAATTCAAACGATTCGACTTCAATTTCAACCGATATCTCTGAGTCGTGACCGAGTCAACACCAATTCGCTTGAATCTCGTGTTGTTTGCGTATCGTATAGCAGTATCGGATCGGTGATGGCCGAGTCGGATACAAATCCTACTCCATCTCCACCTTTAGCTATAAACAAACCCAGACATCATCATGAGCTCACCCTAACCGTAACACAACCACTTCCCCCCTCCTATCCACCGCAACCAGTAAACCCACCTCCACCAATTTGCTTAAACTAACAAGAATAGAGAGATTATTGAACCTAAATGTATACTTCACCATCATGGCCCTTTGTTTCAAGGAGTGAAATCTTTCATATAACTCCATTGAATAATCAACTGGAAAAAATTGTTTCCTCATATTTATCATCATATGTCTCATGTGCAAATTTTCTACTTGCCTTATCGAGATCGCTACTCAACACGCTTCAACCATTGAAGTGCAATACCCTTCAATTTAAGCTTCACAATAGCACTTTCCTCTCTTAAGCCATCGACTTCTACTCAAAATAGATCTCCAAACTAGATTCATAATCCAACTAATCTTCAGCGTGCATCTTTCTAAAAAAGTCAACAACTTCGATTTTAATTTCTCCACCATTCAAATCAATTACACGAACTAATCTCTCTTCGAATTCACCCCGATTTGGGACGGTCAACATGCTTGATTTCATGGAAGCAATTCTCCTCTTTTATTATATCATTATCCTCTAGACTACCTTTCGGAATGTCGAACAGTTCACAATTGCCTTTCAAAATCTCCATACAAGCTAGGATCTTTAGATAAGGGTTGATCCCTTCTTATAGCCTTTGGTTGAGGTTAGGTGACTATACGCTTGATCTCACCCATCTCAGTTTGCTACTACTTATTTCCTCTTCAACCACGACCTCTACCACATCCAGTCATGATGTAAATCTAGGATTCTTAGGCTCTAATAACAAATTGGTGCAACAAAATTCTCAGATCTACTATAAATTGCTACTTAAAGCAAGAATCAACACCTTATAATGAATTTCCATTAATAAGATAAACAAAAAAAAAATTATAATCAAAAGATGGAACAAGACTATGTTTCTAGGGCAAAAAGACCCACCCTAGAAAGTTAGAAATTTTGATTTTTAAGAACAAGAAAAAGAAAAAAGAAAAAATTGTCTACAAAGACTCAAAAAAATGTATTCATACTCGAGTTACAACAACCCTAACATCCAAGCCCTTGATCACTTCAATAACTTTTTAATCCTAGCCTTCCAAGATTATTAAAAACTCATGTGACAGTCACCTGACTATTTTTAAAAAGATTAGGACTATAAAATACTACTCATACACTAACATAAAAGATAAAGTACTGCAGAAAATAAAATCATAATCCAAAAAATCTGCAAACTAAAGCTCAAATTAAGCCTATTAGTAGGCCGCTTGTCCTTAAAATAGGCAAAATATTGAATATTGAACATTATTGCAATCTAAAAATAATCAATTGATATAATCACGTCGTTTAAATGAAAATACGCTAGCCTTTCGCTTCATTCTCATCATTTGCTTAACCATTTTCAAATTCAACAACTTGAAAAAAAAAATTCATTAAAGAACTATGGTTATTTAAGAACCAAAACAGTGACACCCAATACAAATTAAGTTACAAACATGAATGAGAGAAGAACAAATAAGAAAATTGATTGGGAAAAAACATACAGGTAAACAAAACAAAAAATTAGAACCTAACAAACTATCCATGAAAGAATTAAAAGCAAAAATTAAAGTTTATTCTAAAATATGGTAACAGGAGATAGAAAAATCCAATGTAAAAAAAAAAAGGCATGCTAGGGCTTGCTTACTACTCCCTCCGTTCCTAAATATCTGTCGTTTAAGGTTTTTGCACAGGTACTAAGGAAGTTATTAAATAGCTCTAATATGAGTAAAAAATAATTGCACAAGACAAAAATATCCTTATTCAATATATATTAGGAAGGAAAGGAATATGAAAGACACTTAACCTCCACCAAATCTAATGCATTGAAAAGTTATGGGTAAATTTGGAAGAAAAAATACTAATTATACTTTGGTTTCATTAAACGACAGATATCATGAAACAAAAAAAATTGTGTAAAACGACAGAAATTTTGGAATGGAGGGAGTATTAAGAAGAAGAAGAAAAGCGGGAGCAGGAGGCATATACCATCAACTGATGACACGAGAGCTTTAGTCGTGACCTTCAACTTTTGACAACACGAAACGAGCTTTAGATGACGCGAGAGAAAGAACGAACAAAAAGGTCAAGTTTTTATTAGGGCGTGAGTTCCTCAGCAAGCACGATGACGTCATTTTACTGCTAATGATGTCGTTTTGCCAAAAATTTGAGTTTTAAAAAAATGTGACTGAATCGTACAATTCAGATGCAATTCAAATCTAAAAATGATTCTCATATAAGATACGAATCGTTTTGTAATTATATCGAACCGAATCATACGAATCGAATTGCGAATCCTACAATTTTGATAACTATGGGTGGTGATGTAATGGCATTTGTAAAATGCATGGATAAATGGCGTCGGTATCAAAATTGCATAATAACAATAGTTGATTGTGGGTGGCTGGGGTTGATGGAACAAGACTACCAGAAGCCTAACAATCTGTAAAGGGCTTATTGTTCATTTTAGGTTGTTTTGAATTTTATCTTAATATGGTTACCAATGTGTAGAAAAGGTTTAGGAAAATAGCAGTATGAGAAACCACAGAATCCCTGTTACTGGAGGTTAACAATGCGGACAGTGGAGGTCAGTGCTCAGGGACGTGCCCGTAATTAGGTATGACCTTATTAACTTCACATAACTTCAATCTAAATTCCCTGTCAAGTAAATATAATTCAATTGCTCCAGTCCAATTCAAAGTAATTGAATGTGACTGTTATGCAACAGCACAGAAAACTATCATTATATGACCAGAACTACACATAACTACATATCATAGAAGAGTATTAGCTCAAGAGAGCCATACTTAGAGAGGACAACTAAAGAACTTGCCCCATATTTCATATACTAAAATAAAAGCATGTCACCTTTGTTCCTTTTTCCTGACCATGAACATCAGCATAGTATCGGGCGCGTAGAGGAGCTCCATTTGGCTTGGCAGAGAAGGAGAAACAGCACAGGTAGAAGATATCAGACACCCACATCATCCAGTGAAATTATAGAAATAGATGTATTCTGAGAATCAATAATAATAATAACACAATTACCCCATCTTCTCTTCCCCGAAAATAACCTCTATTATTGTGATGAGGGTATAAAGCAGCTCCATTCAGCTAGCACGAAAGGAGGAAAAAAAAGGCACATATAACTATTCCCATGATGTTGTATTAATGCACAAGAACTCATGTTATGGGCACCAAGGACAATACACTCCCAGATCGAAAGAAAAAGAGGAATTATAAAAAAAATTACTGCATTTTCTCTTCCCATTGCATGCCGTCTATAATCGCGACGATTGTGTGAAGCAGCTCCATTAAGCTAAAATGAAGTCAGGAAAACAGAACAGCACAAAGGGCGCATCTCAGGATCCCCAAGAATCTTGAATGAAGATGTGAAAATTCCAAACATAAAGAAAACCTTGCCAGTGGGATAGGACAATAGGGTTCAAAACCACACTCCATCTACACAAGAAAGAAGGTGGAGGGGAACGGAAGGAATAGATATGCAGCATTCTAATTATCATGAGGTGGTAGGTTACCATATTTCCTCTTCCTCGTCCATGGCCTCTATTACTGCGATAAGTGTATAAAGCAGCTCCATTCGGCTTGAAAAGAAAAAAAAAAAGCACGAAAGGCAAATATCAGAATCCGTATGTCTTGAATGAAAACAAAACCAACAAAATCATTGGCAATGAACATAAAGCAGTTTGAGGACAAAAAAAAAGCAGAAGATTAGCAAATTTCCTCTTCCCTGTTCATGATGCCCGTTACCATGATGAGAGGGTAAAGCAACTCCATTCAACTAGAAGTAAAAAAGGAAAAACAGCACACAAGGCACATATTAACATCCCCATGCTGTGAATAGAAAATAATCCGAACTGACCAGACACTCATCGAAGTGTAGAAGTTTCCATTGGCTTAAATTAGGTAGGACTATGAAAACATATCAGGAACACTGTAAGGAGAAGAAATCGGACAAATGAAAATCATAATCCAAAAAGCATTAAACAACAGCCAATACAAAATGGTATTAACACTATACTATCAGCAGATACCACCTTTTCCTTGATTCGTGTTTGGTATGTCATTTCTAAAATGTTGCGACTTGGAAGCATGAAATATACATAAATTCACACAAAAAGATATATAATGAAGTGAAGAACATCAGCACGTGTAGAAATTTTTTAATGTGAATTAAAATTCTTATTCAACCAAATCACATCACCAATAATACATAGGTGATCAAGGCCATACAACCTGCATTATGAACTTGATGTTGGTTCCACAATGTAAAAATTAAAAACAAAATGATAGCCAGCAACATGTTGCGTCCCACATTTGGTTACGCAGGGGTATCATATGGGCTTAAAAGATCTTGGACAATTCTCCACCTAACAGCCCAAGTTTTTGTATTGCAAGGCTAATATTAGAGTGGGACCAAATGAGTCAACCCTATCAGTCGTGTGGGTCCTATTGGGGATATTAAGGTCGAAGTAGGCCAGGTGGGCCCACTCACCAATGGTGGAGTCAAATGCGACGAGCGTGTCGCATCTTTGGGTGGGGGGGAATGGGACGTCCCACATCAGTTTGGGTAGGGGTGTCGCATAGGCATATAAGGTCTTGGGCAATTCTTCAGGTAACAATTTAAACATTTGGGTTGCAAGGCTGTGACAAACAGTACTAATTTGCCATGAAAAATTTCAAGTGGCTAATTTGCTGAACAGCATATATAACTGGTGAATTTAAAGAAAAAAAAATGAACTGACCCATTTCATTCATCAGGGATTGAAATTAGAAGGGAGGAAAAAAAGACCATTATCAAGTTCGGTCCCTGTTAACCGAAGGTATCAGTCGGTGTGGACTGGATACAAACCTATTTGATATTATATACACAAAGTAGTTGCACTCCTATTTGAACCCACAACCTGGCGGTTGTTAGCCCGAGTTGTTTACCATTGCACTAGGAAACGAACCCTAGAAAAGTTGGTCTAAATAATAGACACATTCCACAAAACTTTACAAATAATATCACATGACGGTATACCAGTAAGTACCCTATACATTTCAGCCATGCAAAATAGGCTAAATTGCCATAGATCAGCCAACATAGTTCTCAAAAATAAAAAAATCCAGTCTGCCTTTCTAAATTTAAGAATGGAATATTTTGCTTAATTTGTTGGAATTGCCAAAATTTTATTTCAAAAGAAGTTTAAATCCACGAGCATGAATAACCTACATGTACTGTATATTCATTCCCATGATTGAACATAAATGTGTTTGTGTCTATGCACCACAATAACATATATATGCTTAATCAACTTCACAAAAACCCCAAAGAAGGTTGTTTGTTCATGTAATTAATCTACAGTTTTGATGATTCAAGAGCCCCAGAATAATCCTCCCAGTTTCAAATGGGAAGATAATCTTCCTAGTTTCAGTACAATCTTCCTAGTTTTCATGCAGGTGGGAAAGTGATAGAAGGTGAATATGGTTGTAGAAAGGGGAACCCAGCCAAAGCACAAGAAGATTTAACGTATTCACATAGAAAGGTGGCTGTCAGTGTGCTTTTGTGGCTATTATGACAGTACTGGTTGATCTTATGGAATTCTCACGAGATGAGTTGCAGTCATGTCAATCCAGCAAGACGCCCAACAAGACATGAATGGATTGGTGGATCCAGCCAAGTTGAACCCCAATCCAACCTGATTGATGTCTGTCAGCATTATTGCATATGGTGTCACTGTATCGGAATGTCCCCACGGACACCCAGTTGAGAGGCCAAGTTCACTCAATTTGAGTAGGCAGAGTTTTTCAACTACAGCCTCCAATTCTATGACAATTTCACTCAATTTGACAATTTTGACATTTACAATGAGAGAGGCAGCAGCCATACCTTTTCAGCTGATGATGATGATGGCAATTGCTGTCCTGGTTCCTGAACATTTTCTGTATCTGAAAATGGTGGTTCTGATGTCGATGCTTGAATAGTTTCTATGTCTTCATCAGCATTCTGTGAAAAACGAGATACAGAAGGCGTTGTGACCCCAAGCGGTAAAAGCTGATCAGAGGCCACAAGTGTTTGTATTGATTTCTCGCCAAGAGATGCAGCGGTGGTTGCAACAACAGATGGCATAGATTGAGCCATACTTTGATAAGGCAATGCGGGCCCAAGAACTGAGCTATGTTTGCCAGTAATTAAAGGAACAATGGCATTTACTTTCAGATTGGTAGCCAAAAAGGGCAACAGTGGCAAGCTAGGACCCAATTTTACAGTAGGAAGAGCATTGAGTTCATTATTTGGCTTCACGTTTGGGTGAAAAAGTAGAAGCTGGAGTGGAAGATTGTCCACTTGGAAGGTTGGATGCAAAAGCTGATGGTGGGGATACGGTAGGAGTTGAATTTGGGGAATCTTTATGAACAGGAGGCAGTGAGGAACAAGAGTCTGCCACTAAATTTAGTGCAGGCCCTACTAAAGAAGAACTCATACTGGGAGGTTTGATTGGCTGTTGCACAGGACTAGATAGCACCAAACTTTTTGGTGGTGGAGGCAAAGGTTGCTGTTGCGAATGAGTAATTCCCCTCGAGGATACAGTGCTTCCTGGCCAATACTCTGGCATATCTAGCCCATTACTGTTGGCAGTTGGAGGAGGTGATGAACCCAATTCCCTGAATTTTCCACAGACTGATATTGCTGCAAATTTCCTTGAAAAGTTGAAACAGGGATTCCCAATTGTGTATGGGAACCAATATTTGTAACTGGTGCAGTACCAGCAGATGTCACAGAGGTAGATACAGATGGTGGATGAGGATAATGAGGCTGCATAAGAAATTATAATAAAAAAGAAACAAGTTCAATTTACCGGATGCATCTTGTATGAGCCTCAATAGGGAGTCCTAGTCTGAAAACATGCGTATCTGTATAATAGCAGGATCATCGGGTACAGATGGCGTACCCTGAACAGGTGGTGAGGATATAACCTGCAAATCCTGCAAGAGAATGCACAAAAAAAGGTCAAGCGTAATAACAAGAGAACGGGCAGATTTGAATATCTACAGGGAGCATGTGCAGAAGATCCTGTGAAAAGAACCTGTATCCCACACCAAATAATTAGAGCTACGCGAGGTTGGTTTATATACTTGAAGGGCCTCTCTACGCAGAGCCAATTGGTTTTAGGTCAGATAATCTACCCTGATATTAGAACTTAGCCTTGAATAGCCGGTGGGTCAAGTCTCTAACTCAATTGAATTTTTCAATATGCATGTTTGTCTATTTATTATCCATTTGAATTTCCCAATATGCATGTTTGTCTATTTGTTTGTTAGTCCACTATACTAGCGCGGGTCGCACATAAAAAGAACTTGTATCCCACATCTAACAATTAAAGGGTCACCCAAGTTTGTTTAAATACTTAAAGGAATTTCTCCACTCATTACTAATTGATTTTGGATTGAATGCTCTAACAATTGCTAATAAGTTTAGGATCAAATCAAGGTCTTATTAATATGAATTTGGTGTTATTAGGAGGCTAGGTGAGTTCTTTTCTTCATAAGGTCCTGTGAGCCAAGGGTATTCTGTTCTTTTCTGACATTGGCTATTAACCTAGGTCAAGCTGTTGCTCGGCTCTTATATAGAACCTTAGTCTAGAAGAGGCTTATTGGTCCAAGCAACAAAGTTCACTATTTTCTTTGTCTTAGTCCTTGTATTAAATAGAATATTAAATTGTGATACTTTAATATTTTGTTTGTGCATTTTTGTCTAAAACCTGCGGTGAAGCATGATACTTTGTCTTCTTCCTCCTACTCCTCCTCCTCTTATTTGGCTGCTGCCGCTGCTGCTGCATCCAAACCTTGTAAACCACTACTTAACAGTATAAACCTTAATTTAACCAGCCCAGTAATTCCTTTCCACAAAATTCAACCCTGGTAGCTGTTCATAATTAAAACCCACCACAAAACCTGTTGTAGGCCGCATAATTCTGAGTTTCCTAACACTCCTACATCAGGTGCCAGCCTACATCCTGGGTCAGAAAAAATTACCAAGAAAGGAAAAGAAATATAATCCTAATCTCAGTATTATTTAAGGTGTAAAGCGAACCGAAGCGACCAAAGCTTCTAACGCCTAGGCGAGAAACGAGAAGCGAAGCGACACGCTTTACCGAAGCAAAGCGAACAGTTAAAAAAATAAAATATTTTAGTTTAATTACTTCTAAACAATCTAAGTTCTAATTTTATATATACTAAATATTTAAATGCAAGTAAAACCATAAACATTTAAATTAAAACAAACACTAATAATATCTCAAATCTTAATAACAATCATAATTTAAATATTTAAATTCAAACAAATACTAACAATTATATACATTTTCATATTGACAGGGTTGGACAACAAAAGAAGCAGAATCAGGATAGCAGCAGAATCAGCAACAAAAAAAAAAAAAGAAACAGAATGAGGATAAAAACAAATAGAAGCAGCACAGTACAACAAAACCGAAGCAGCAACAGAATCAACAAAAAAAAATAGAAGCAGAATGAGCTAAAAAAACAAACAGAAGCATAATGATCAAGACAGGAGTAGAATCAATTGTAAACAATTTCATATGTAACTATGTACTGAATAAAAAAAGCAGAACAGAGGCACATTTCACATGTACTAAAATAATTAAACATGGTATAAGTATAAACCACTTTTTGGTACCATTTGTATACATATAAGAAAAGGGAAAAATATAGACATATCAGAGACACTTCTTTGTAGAAGACTCTATTATTTACCCCCATTCCTGATACTCCTGCTTCCTTTCTTTATCATAATTTTGTCATGCAGTCGCCTGACTCCCACATCCCACAAATATTCTAAATGAATTCAACAACACAAGAAAAAAAAAAAGAATGTGTTTTGTTCGGAACATTGCTTATCAAAAAAAAAAAAAATAGACCAGCGATAGTCTTAAAAAAAAGTCATCAGTGATTAAAAAATAAAAGAGACTACTAACATTAAAAAAAAAAGGGAAGCAGAATCGCCTCTTATAATAAAGCGATCGCTTTTTCGCTTTTTTCACTTCTTCGCTTTTCGCTTTTTCTCGTTTTGCTCACGTTCGCTTCGCCTGGGGTCCTCCAGGCGAGATAAGCTCGCCTCGCTTCTCGCCTAGGCAAGCGCCTAGGCGAGCTTTTCAAAACACTGCTCACAAAATTACATGACAATACTGTAATGACCAAATTCTTAGGACCCTAAGTTGCCACTGCATGGCGCAAAGAGAGGGACAGAGAGTCAAAGACAGTTGACAAATAAAAAGCCTCAAGTCCAGAGCATCTTCACAGTGCTTATAAATTATAATCATAAGACTACATATAATAGTTTTATGATGCTATGACTTGTTTTGTTCAAGTCTTACATTGTAAAAAAGGACAATTAGTGCTTCATGAAAGGAGATTCTGGCTCAGTGGTTGGCATCCCTTTATTCACATGGATGAACTGAGTTGCTAATTGCTATGTATATTCTGATCCTTATAAGGCATGAGAGTGGCATGCTATGATAGCCTGGTGATCTAGGGAAATAGATGAAGGTTAAGTCAAAATTTAATCAGATGTGCATGGGAGAATGGTAGGTGCACGCACTCCCACAAACTTTGCCAAGGACTGAACGAACAAACTGCAGCAGTTGCAACCATTGCAAGTGGATACTATTCTCTTCTTCTGCAACAAGAAGGCGAAAAGGACAGCGCTCTGTGTGTCCTTTTAGAAAGTGTCAAGCCATATCAACCTAAGAATCTGAATCGAAGTATACGGCACAGGAGAATATGCAACTATCCAAGCCTCGTTGCCAAGGTTAGAATGATCACATGCTCAAAGGAATAGCATCATGGTAAAGTCTCGCAGAAGAATCTTAAAATTTAGAGTAGAAAAGATCTAAATAAAAAAAAGAGAAAATATGGTGAGTTTTTTTTAATAGGAGAAAAAAAAATATCATAAGTTTGTTGATTAAAAATCAGGAGGACAAAACTTCTTTCAGACACAATCCTATGCATCTCAATAGTGGCGCACTGAAGCTTACTCCCCAGCAGCCTCCACAAAGGCACACTTCTGTCTTTCGCCCCATCCCTGTCACCTCCTTCAACTACCAACCTACCACGCCTTTTTTCTAGAGATCACAAATCCTAACTAAGACCATTTACTGCCAAAGACACTATAGTTAAAAATTAGAAGAGCACTACTACCGTGACCATAAAATACTGTAGAAAATTCAAAGATAGCTATGCCCCCAAACCCTAAGATATATCATGCACAGAATTTTGCATCATGAAAGACAGATTCATCCAAAAATCATGAAACAAGAAGAAGTGAATTATGAATGCTCAGTATCTTGCGATGAAAATCATTTCATCCATGAACCACACCACTTTAGATAACCTTCAATCATTGAATTATGTAAATCCATGAGGGTAAAATTTCGTCAGAAAATAGCCCATCTACTAGTATGTAAAAATATAAGCTACCTTAATGTCGCTTCCTCGGAAGAATATGTACTCGTAAACTTTGTCAATTGGAAGGATCTGAGGGCCATCCTTCCTTCTTCCTTCTGTTCCAAAAGATTTCACTGCCAGGCAATAGAGATAAATCACAATAAAAACTCAATAAAATGTTAACCAAATGAACTAACGTATGGAAAGATTTTGCAGAAGGAGCAACAGATAATTTTGGCTCCTCTTGCCCAAAGTTGGACATGACACTTAACAATTCCAAAAGATAAATAAAGTTATCATGTTTGTTATTTTCTAAGAATTGAAAAACTTATATGATTTGATTCCTTTGGAGGTTTGATTCATATAGAAGTAAAAGAGTTGACTTGGTATTTCTGTCTCTACTACACCAGTTGGTTTCCTGAAAATCTCAAGTACACTATTTCATTATACTAAGTTGACAACAAAAATAGAACACAAAATGTGAATCCCTAATGAATGAGACACATTCTATGCTTTTTTATTTCACAAAGACCAGAAACAAGCCCATAGATCACAAATGCAAAGAAAATATATGCCATACTAATCAATTCCTAAACAACACAAAGCAAAATTGGAAAGCAATTATTTTCTCACTGCATAAGTTATTCGGAATCTCTATAAAGGAATATCATGGATCCTGGAATCCCCAAAAGAGTGACAAGACAACAGAGGACAAGATAGTCTATCCACTTTGAAGCCACCAAGGCAAAGAAACTAATGTTTAAAAGACTCATTTATTGCCAGAGAAATCAAGGCATGATACCAATACCACAAGGTTCAATCAGTCCAGAATTTGGTCGAAAATAGAATCCCCAACAAAGATTGCCACCCAAATTAATAAGGGTGATGGCAAAGGAAAATTCATAAGCACACCATGGAATAGTAGATTCATAAAGGATGACAAAGGCTTAATTTTGGTCATTTTACCAGTGAGCTTCTAGCTGCCTAATGCAAAATTTAGGAATTCCCACATTCAATTAGTCAAAAGAGTTTCCAAATCAGACACAACAAATAATTTACAAAGAAACTTGCTAGATCAGGAAAGATGAGGAGAAGGGAAGTTATACAATTCCATTCACCTACGAATAGAAACGGAGCATGCGAAGCTCCTTTAGGAGCACGCACAACACAAGCAGAAACAAAAGTTATTTCACTAAATTTGGTACTAATATTTCCAAGGTCTAAATAATACTCCTAACTGCAATCATCAATCTTAGTCCTGGTAAGGGTAACGATAATGGTAATGACAAAGCCATAAGAACTTGGCGCCAACGATACAGATTTGTATTTGTTCTTAGAAAACCTCAGTTTATAAGTTACATCTTCCAAATAAAGTAATCAGAAAGCCACCAAAAATGCAGACCCCCAAAGGAGCAAAAAAATCATCAAACAGTGAAGCATTTATATTGATAACCCCCC